TCCAAGAGACATCTCCTCTACAAGAATTACGTTTCTGAAGAACTTGTTGATGATCGATGTCCAAGTAAATAAAGACAAAGCATATATAAATTATCAATTCAAGCATTCATCTGGCAAGACCGGAAGTCTTTTCTAAAGTTTAGCCCTTGGCCAGGTATTTGGAAGTACCATTACTTCAGTTTCAGCGCCCTGAATTCAATAATATAGTATTCTATAGTATTCGTAAAAGAGAAATCAGCAGACAATGAAAGGGCAGTCAACATACGAAAGCATTTGCAATTCAGATGACTCTACCATAAAATGTTTGAATGATATATTATTTATGAATTGAAAACTGGTTATTAAATTTCAAATTTATTCGTTTAAAATTGATCAAAATGAACACATGAAATATTCTATATTAACCACGTTGAGATAAAGCGACTTTCAGAGCATTAAGAACTCTAGCTGCAGATCTATAGCGTTCTGGTTTTATATATTTGCCTTTGACCATAACGCTACAGATCCCGTAATGCAAAAAAGGTGCAATTTACGGCGCAATATTTTTTGCGCACTTTTGGGGAGAATTTCTCCACTTTCTAGCATTGGTCAATCAACTACCTTTCACTCCCTAATTCTAGACACATTCTGTAGCCAATATGTATATTTTATCCACCTCCCAACCATTTATAGTTGTCTCTACAGGCAACAGATTCGCTAGAAGGGAATTTTCAGCAATCTAAAAAATAATTTTGATCAAGCGAGTTTATCACTTGTAGAAACAATTATAAAAGGTTGAGAGATGGATAAAACATAAAAATGAGTTAAATAATGTGCTTAGAATTAGGGAGTAAAAGGTAATTAATTGATTAATGCTGGAAAAAGGAGAAATTCTTCCCAAAAGTGCGCAAAAAATATTGCGACGTCAATTGCACCTTTTTTACATTACGGGATCTGTAGCGTTTTGGTCAAATACAAATATATATAAAACCATAACGTTACAGATCTGCAGCTATAAGAAACTCCAAATGCAAATATTTTTCGGGGAGCATTTATTGGAGGTGAATGTCAGAGTTTTCTTTATTTAGTTACGGTTAATGATACGAGTGCATACATAATTCCTTACAAGTGGTATAGTCCGCCGAGGCCCTGAAGGGGCCTTGACCCTTTGATTGTTAGAAATGGAGTGCTACCATTATATGAATCCGCATAAAATCCACAATTTAAATGCTTGTAATGTGTTTCTAAACAATTAGCTACGCTGGACTGCAGATGCTTAGCATGGAAACAAAAATCCTAGACACGTTTTGTCTTTTTTCGGACATCAAAACTGTTGTGAATTTAATCGTGTGCTATATTGAGGAGTGCGGGTTGCCCCTCCACGGTGTACCCTAAGGTAGCGATGCAGTCCAAAACCCATTCTCCTGCCAGCTTCTTCAACAAAGGTTGAAATTCACTCTGGACACAAGTCCGTCTGTGAAAATAGCAACGAAAGCTGTTTTATGTCCCTAATTTTTAACTGATCTGAAACGTCAAGATGAAGTCATTATTTAAAAAATAAGAATGGGAAATTCAAGGTTTACCTGTAGTGTTAGACAATTTATACCTCGCAAGAGTTATCTTTCTTTTTATATTGTTATCATTATTCCGGGTTTGTAACCCTTTACGGTTTGTTTTTTAGAATATTTTATGTTGTTCCTACATGAGGCTAGGAGGCCATTTTCGCTTGTTCCAAGCATTGTTTTAAAGTATTTTTCACTCTTACGGGTACATCCCTCCACCATAAGTAAGTTTTTATGTATTATTTTACGTTATATTTTACAGATTACTTTGGATCAGATAGGTTAATAGATTTCGATGTGTATTAGAAAGTTAATGGTTATGTAAAAATCTGCTATGAATGTAAACGCTATATTGATTCTCAGTTTATGTGATAAATAACCTACATGTTACTAAGAGTGCATTTTAATTTTTTTATGATAGGCTAGTCTATGTTTGAATTTAAATTGGAAAAATGTTCACTAAATATGGATATTATTCTTGTTTGTCTATAATTTGTCACTTACAATGTAAAATAAGGTTAATTGGGTATCACTGAATTGTATGAATCTTTTTGTAAATCTTGTCTCTTTATTACTTTCAGTCTTTTACCATACACATACAAGCATCGATGCAATAAAGAGTAATCCGCCCTTATTGTTTTGGTTTGTTGGTTTGGTAAACACTCTGAACAGAGGCAGAACAGTAAAAGATTATGACCAGGACAACCTGTAGGACGATGGCAACAGGGGAAGGGGAGAAACAACAGGTCAAAGACGAACAGGATGATAAACAATCCAGGATTCGGACTCTTACAGAGAAGGGTCAGGCTTCCTTTGACCAAACATTCCTTGATCTACAAGAAAAGTGCACAAGCGCTTGGAGAGAGGTAGAGGACCTCATCGCAAATTGTGATGGTGACAATACAGACAGGAAATACCTAAGGACAACAGAAGACCAGATAAATGCAAAATTCAAACAGTACCTTAAAGAAAGTCAAGCCCTAGCAAACTTCCTTGAAAGAGCTCGCACAGAACAAGCTCTACAGAAACTGGAGCAGCATGAGTCTCAGTATAGCACATATTCCGATATAGTGTTCACATTTCGAGATGTCCTGCATAATAAACTATTAGAGGCAGCCGAACGACTCTCGGAAAAGTTCGAAGTGAAATCCACGACTTCATCACAAGCCTCAAAGACAATATCAGAGATATACAAAAAACGAGTGAAAGCGGAGACCCAGCAAACAAGACTTAAATTCTTGGAAGAGCAGGCGGCTCTGGAAAAACAAAAGGCAGCTACCGATATTGATATATGGCTTTCTAAAGAAAGAGAAGCAGCAGCTGTGGCAAACGCAGAAGTAAACGCCATGGAAAATTACGATCGTGGATCTCAAGGAAGTTTTCAATTTGACATTGAAGAACAAAGTGTGGAACAGACGACCAGAGAAAGAACTGAAGCTTATGTGAACTCGCAGGCCAGCAACCACTCAGAAATCACACCTAACTATGTTCGACATGATGATGCCTCACATCGCTCGAGACCTGCAAGCATCAGTCAAGCAGGATTTCATTTTCCGACTGCCAGTCATGTTCAACCTCATGAACATTCACCTATAGGCTATAGTTGACCTCAGTAACTACCTTTTGAAAAAGGATTTACTATTACATCGTTTCTCGGCATTTGATGACTCGGCGCAAAACTATACAGTGTGGAAAGTTGGTTTCCTGAATATTCTGAAGGAATTGAAAGCATCACCAATCGAAGAACTTGATTTATTGACAAAATGGCTGGGCCCCGAATCAAAAAGATACGCTCTATCCATACGTTCAGCAAATACTCACCAACCTGAGAGGGGTCTATCCCTGATATGGGCACGATTAGAAGACCTCTATGGAAAACCAGAAATTGTGGAGGCAGCGTTGAAGTCAAAGCTCAAGGACTTTCCAAAAATTACAGAGATGGATCCGAAGCGTTATTATGATCTACTTGACTTGCTGTATGAGATTGAGTCCAACAAGCAGGACCCTCAATATTCCAGACTACTTGGATACTATGACACTTTCTCAGGCATATTGCCTATTGTTAGTAAACTCACCAATCAAGTACAAGATAAATGGGCCACCCGTGCATCTCAGTATAAACGTTTGAATCATGTTCCATTCCCACCATTTAGCATATTTGTCAGTTTCATACAGGAGATATGTGAATTGAAAAATGATCCAGGTCTTATTTCTAGTACGAGGTATTCATCCGACAAGAAGAGAGAACCTACAAACAAAGTCTTTGTTCGGAAGTCAGACGTTGGTACCGAAACACCAACATCCTCTATGCGGTGCCCTATACACATGGCTGACCATTCCTTGGAACAATGCCGTGCCTTCCTGGCAATGACATTCCCAAATAAACGCGACTTTCTGAAAAGCAGGGAACTCTGTTTCCGTTGCTGCAAGGGAAAACATAGGGCCAACAAGTGCAAACTTAAAGTGAGTTGTGACGTTTGTAAAAGCAACCGCCATGTTACGTGTATGCACTTTCACAGAGACTCTGGGCAAGAGAATGGCGGGGAGAGTTCATCTAAGGAATCACCATCTGGGAAGGGAGATGAAAACATTATCACGTCCTCTTGTACCCGATTGTGCGGTAAGGATAGAGTTGGCCGATCTTGTGGGAAGATTGTTCTTGTGAACGTATACCCGTCTAACAGACCTGATCTTACCTTTAGAACTTATGCTATGATAGACGATCAGAGCAATAGAACCTTAGCTCGTTCCAAGTTTTTTGATCACTTTGGGTTAGAGGGCAATGACTGTTTTCACGTTGAATTCCTGCGGTGGGAGTGTTACATTTTCTGGAAGAACAGCAGAGGGATTCGTCATCGAGCCAGTGTCAGCTGAACAAAAGTTGTACTTACCTATAATTATAGAATGCGACGAGATTCCCAACAATCGTAAGGAAATACCGACTCCTGAAGTGGCGTCTGCATATCAACACCTGTTGGATATTGCACCATTAATTCCTGATTTGGATCATACAGCCGAGATTCTGCTTCTCATAGGAAGGGACTTGATCCAAGCACATCATGTGATCGAACAAAAACTTGGGCCACCAGACTTGCCGTTTGCGCAAAAACTCTACTTGGGGTGGACTATTATCGGTGAAGTGTGTTTGGGTAGTGCTCATAGGCCTAATTCCATTGTAGTGAATAAGACTCATGTGTTGGACAATGGGCGTAGTACCCTACTTGAGCCTTGTGATTCCAAGTTACTCATTACACGAGAAAAACATCAACATGGTGTCGGTTCTTGTACGGGGATATTCTGTACTACAGTGAATGATGAGACTCCTGGAATGTCGACTGAGGACCGCCAGTTTCTGGAAATAATGGACAGGGAGTTTCACCGCGATTCCTATGGAAAATGGACAGCCCATTACCCTTCCAACATGATAGGCCTGTGTTACCAAATAATTACTCCCAAGCAATGAGATGGGCTATGATCTTAGATGCTTCGTTGAGAAAAAATCCCACCAAACTTGGACATGCCTTAGAATTCATGAGGAACATTTTTGACAGAAATCACGCAGAGGTAGCCGCACCTCTGAAACCAAATGAAGAATGTTGGTACCTACCAATTTTCGGGGTGTACCACCCACTCAAACCGGAGAAGATTCGCATGGTGTTCGACTCTTCAGCTCGCTTCCAGGACTTGTCTCTGAACAGCGTACTTTTGTCAGGTCCAGACCTTACAAATAGTCTCATTGGAGTGTTGATGCGTTTTAGGATGGAAGCCGTAGCTGTGACCGCAGATATCGAGCAAATGTTCCACTGCTTTGGTGTCTTAGAGAAACATAGGAACTTCTTAAGATTTTTATGGTACACAGACAACGACCCTACCAAGTCTCTAACAGAGTACCGCATGACAGTCCAGGTTTTTGGAAACACCCCATCACCTACTGTAGCTACTTATGGGTTTCGTCTTGCTGCCATTCAAGCAGAACATAGCTTTGGGAAGGATGTAAGAGAGTTTGTGGAGCGGAACTTTTACGTGGATGATGGTCTGGTGTCCCTACCAACAACACAAGAAGCCATAGATCTCCTACGACGAACTCAACAGGCCTTACTGACCCATGGGAACCTTAGATTACATAAGATTGCGTCTAATGACCCTAGAGTGATGCAGAGCTTTGATGTGAAAGACCTAGCAAAGGACTTGATTGACTTAGATATTACACATGATGATCTTCCAACCCAGCGGAGTCTAGGACTCGTGTGGGATCTTCAGAGGGATGCCTTTGGGTTTAAACTTAGCAGGAAGGAGAAACCGTACACTAAAAGAGGAGTTTTATCATGTGTTAATAGCCTGTACGACCCTCTAGGCTTCATAGCGCCTATTACTATTCAGGGAAAGTTACTTCTTAGAGAAATGACACAGGCACCTTCTGTAGACTGGGATGCTCCCTTACCAGAAGAATTCCAGAGCAGATGGGATGATTGGACCCTATCATTGACTCGTCTTGGAGCATTGAATGTACCTCGTAAGTACCTGCCCATTGGCTTCTCTCAGCTTCAAGAGAAGAACGTACTGATTTTCACAGATGCCTCGGAGGTTGCTATTGCTGCTGTGGCCTACCTGTTTCACAGTCATGATGGAGACATCAATCTGGGTTTCATTATGGGTAAATCTAAAGTCGCACCCAGACCAGCCACTTCTATACCACGCTTAGAGTTGTGCGCGGCCGTCCTGGGAGTAGAAATTGCTACTATTATAAGGGATCAGCTAGACATCAATGCAGATCGTTTCAAATTCTACACGGACAGCAGGATCGTTCTGGGTTATGTGTACAATCGCACAAAGAGATTTTTAACCTACGTAAGCAACAGAGTTCAAAGAATTCTAAGCTTCTCCAAATCATCTCAATGGAACTACATCCCTACGGACCAGAACCCAGCAGACCATGGCACTAAATCTACTATCGACAGTGCACTGTATGACTCATGGCTCAGTGGACCAATAGAATGGCTACGCACAGAAGATACTGTAGATGGTCCTGCCCCAACATATGATTTGGTAGATCCAACTATGGATAAGGAAATCAAACAGGACACTTTGGTATGCAAGGTGGATGTGTCTACCCCCTTATCCTGGACTTCACGCTTTGAGAGGTTTTCTTCATGGAAGAATCTCGTTAGAGCCATCATGTGCCTGAAACGGATTGTCCATGCAGTGGCACATCACAGTAAGGATATTAAAGCTACAGAAGATAGCAGTGCATTTAGGAAGGCAGAGGAGCTTATAATACATCACGTCCAGTTAGAAGTCTACGAGAAGGAAATTACTGCACTTAAGAATGAAAGGCCCCTTCCTAGAAACAGTCCCATTTTGAGACTAAACCCATCTTTAGATGAAGAAGGCATGGTGCGGGTCGGAGGCCGATTACAACATGGTGACTTTGATTTGGGGGAAAGGAGTCCCATACTTGTGCCAGGGAGTCATCATATTGCTAAGCTGTTAGCTCTACACTTTCACGAGTTAACACACCATCAAGGGCGCCATATAACAGAGGGAGCAATCCGCAATGCAGGTCTATGGACTACTGGTGCCAAACGTATTGTGACTTCACTGATTTACAAGTGTGTGATTCGTTGCAGAGGGCGTGGGAAACTTCTTACTCAGAAGATGGCGGACCTTCCTGCGATAAGGTTGAAACCCTCACCCCCATTCACTTACGTTGGAGTGGACTGTTTCGGGCCATGGAGTGTGACAACTAGGCGTACTCGTGGTGGGAGTGCTGACTCTAAGAGATGGGCAGCTTTTTACCTGTATGTGCTGTAGGGCTGTGCACATTGAAGTATTAGAACAGATGAATACACCTTCCTTTGTGAATGCTCTACGTCGATTCTATGCCATAAGAGGAGATGTCAAGGAGTTTTACTCAGATAGAGGCACAAATTTTGTTGGCAGTGTGCGTGAATTAGGTATTAACTCTGTGAATGTTGAGGACGCACCCATACATAACCTACTCACAGATAAAGGAACAGTTTGGAGGTTTAATCCCCCTCATTCCTCACATATGGGAGGAACTTGGGAGCGTCTCATAGGGGTCACGCGCCGTATCCTTGACGCCATCTTACAAGAGAATCGTCACGTCAGACTAACACATGAAGTGCTTACCACTTTCCTTGCAGAGGTCTCAGCAATTGTCAATAACAGACCAATCGTTCCTATTGCAACTGATTCGGAGTCGCCTCAGGTACTTACACCCAATGTTCTACTTACTAGTCAGGCGGCCTACCTAAATTTTTTGAGACAATTGTGCATTTTGTGATAAAAGCATAGAATTTTGTATGCAAGTAGAGTAGTTCATTACAAACATATTTGGATATTGGGCCACTTCAATCGGTACGTACTATGACTTTGACGGCCGATTTTCAAAACCGCTGACAAACGCAAGCATTAACAAGAACATTTTCCTTAACACGTTTAAAATAAAAACAGCTTTGCAATATTTATAAATACATGCACATGCTCTATGATTCAGAAAAAAATGTTTCTTCATCTCATCGGGGTTAAGTATGTGCCAGATTATGCTATCTATAGTAATAATTTTTCTAAATTGACAATATTAAAAATCTATGATTAAATTATTCTTTAAAACAGACATTTACGACCTATCTTTAACTAAATATGCCGTGATAGAGACAAAATACCAACTCTTAAAAATGACTACCTTATTGTTTAACTTTCAGAGTTAACTTGTAACTGTTGATACTATTTAGTATTTACGGTAACTTAAAGTATAGTTCAAATTGTAACTGTTGTTACTATTTGTAGTAAAATTTAACATCATTCGCAATGCTAATTATGCGCCCCGCTTGAAAAGTGAAAGATTATATTGTAATCGGTTTGTCTGTCCGTTCGTCTGTACGTCCGTCTGTCTGTAAAGCTTTGGGATACCCATCTCTTATCTGGAACTCCTCTTTTACCTCTAAGTGAAATTTAATGAAACTTGAAATCACAGAATCTTTATTACATATTGCCATTGTGCACCTCTTGTTTTACTTTTTGATCCGACACATATTTTCGGTTTCCCCGCCACAGCATAACATGAACTTTTCCATTATAATCATTTGGGAGGCGGGGGTATCATTTAGTGATGTCATTGCTCACAGAACCTCTACTTCAGTCAGAGGACGGCCATGCAAATTGAATGAAAAGAAACATAAAACACTATCATCGCAAAATTAATTGTGTTAAACATGTAATGCTTAAAAAATTATAGTTACTAGTATATTTAATACTGGTATATAATTGTTATGGAACTTGAGTTGTTTGTATTGACATTTGCCAATCTCTTTGACTTCCAATTTATCTGGAAGTTCTTACATAGCTTGTAACGTTGTTCCATGCCTTAGATCACACAAATCATGCAAGATGGATTCCTGTTCATATCAGGGACATGGCGGAACTCCCTACAAAACACCCTGAAATAAATCAGGAATTTAATGATGGAAATTTCACAGTGCAAAACACCAAACGGGTCTTCTCTGCTATTCTAATCGATCAAGCACATGAACAAAACAACGCGTATATCAATACAGGAGCTTCAAGATGAACAATCTGACAAGAAAGGGTCAAAAGATACCCGTCATCATGATCAAAAACCTAGTATACAGGCTTCGTTTGCTAAAGATGTTCACTCTCTTGTTTGTCTGATCAATGACCTTGGCAATCCTTTCGATGAATTATGTAAAGATCTTCTAGTTCTAGATACAAAGGAACTTTCAGACCAATCTGCAGTAAGAGCTGTAATATGTGTAATGAGAGTTGGAATTGATAAATTTACACACTTTTGCAAAGAATGTCTCATTAACAGGTGAAGGCTAATCAATGATATCATTCATCGTAGTAGAGTAAGCTTGTTCAAAAATACAAGCAGTTCAAAATTCAGTGAAAAGAAAGAGGATGTAACCTTGCTCAAATGTGATGTGAATCTCTTTTTTGTCAAAACAGACAAGATAATCTTAGAGAATGCTTTCGACATGAGAATCCACTATGACCGCCTTCACTTTCTGATGCATGTAACATCCATCTTGGAACCAAGAGTGACCTTCAGTGCTTGGAGGAATTTGACAAGGAGCGATCTGAGCCTCCATTGACAAGATGTGTAATTCTGAAAAGTTCAGCTGTTGTTCAAATGCTTAGGTCAATTACTGCTAAGACCTCAGAAAATTATGCTCATCAGAACTTCATTCCATATATTTTCTCAGTTTCTATAAGCTTCGCGTGTAGACCTGGTATGGGAAAAATATGTAGACAATTCATTAAAAGGTACCGTTAGAGCAAAGCGAGGCAAGAGTAAACGACTGCCGAGTCAACAGTAACCTAGAGATTGGCAAGATTTCCTTGAGTAGATAGAAACAAGACGGAACTTTACAGATTCCTCTCAAGATATCTCATTATGACTTTTGATGAAGGTATCAACCAAATAGTTTTTACCGATGGTAGAAATGTTCTTTCAAAAATCTAAATACAAGATGTCCTTTCGATTTCTCCATGTAATCACGAGGAAGCAGATAGCCGAATGCTGTTACACACAGCACATGTATCTGGCCAAGGCCATAACAGAATACTGATCCGCACTGTTAACACTGATGTTGTGGTCCTGGCTGTGTCCGTGGTGCAAACTTTGAACCCAGAGATGGAACTTTGGATAGCCTTTAGAACTGGAAAAAATTTCCGTCAAGTGGCAGCCCATATAATTGGACGTGGCCTTGGACACAGAAAAGCTTTTACACATCCAATGTTTCATACGCTGACTGGATGTGACACTGTTTCCAGTATTGGTGGGCATGGCAAAAAAAAACTGCACAGAAAACTTGGAAGGCCCTACCTTAGCTCACTGACGCACATGTTAAATTAGTTTGTCCACCAACTAATATACCAAGCGGTATTATGCAAACCATTGAAGATTTGTCATCCTTCACTATGACAGGACCAGTAAATGCTTTGACATAAACCAAGCTCGGCAAAAGATTTTCGCAAGGAAACCTGATGTGAAACGAATTCCGCCAACAAAGGCTGCGCTAGAGCATGTAAAACGAGCAACTTTCCAAGGAGGACATGCATAGGGATAGGTACTGCAACTAAATCCATTATTGCCCTCCCCTATCTAGTCGGGTTTTATTATGACAGATGGTCTGTATGAGCCTCAATGGACAACACTGCGGGAAGCCTCGAAAGTCTGTTATGAAATAATAAGATGCAACTGTGACTTGAAAAATAAAGGATGTAATTCAAAAAAGTGTTGTTGCAAAGTTTCAAATCTCAAGTGCACTAGCATATGTGGATGTGAAGGAGCTTAGTGATTACTGAAAGTCAGGACAAACAACATCTTTGTCAAAGCTTTTATTGTGGTCACTAGGACCTAATATATGTCTTACATATATAAACATGTTGTCTTTTAACTCTTTCATTACTTAGTAGTACATGCATTTAAAATTAACCATAGGGTAAGTCACGTGTCACGCACTGGTTAGATCGAGTGTTTTAAAGTCTAAAACTGTGAATGAAGGAATTAATAACAATGCTAGTTCCAACCGAGTGCACGATGAGACAAAATAGATATCAGTTTTGTGTCGAGGAAGGCGCTGTTGTGAAAAAAGATCCCACACTTATGAATAGATTGTACAGAGTATAGGTATAATTTTGCACACACACCCCTCACACCATACGCCCAGCAGCACCTGATGACATCATAGTACGAATGAAAAAATTCTCAAAGGGACATAATGCTCACAAATAAGCATATTCAAATCATAGAGAGTATGCACATCAAAAGGAGATAGTATATGTACTTTTAATGTTAAATGATGAGGAAAAAGTGGATTTGCTTGTTTTAAAGAAATGTTATTATAATATAACCATTTTATTTCATTGAAAACTTTTTCTTTTTCTTTTGAAGACAAAAAGAGTGTTTTTGTTTTTCTGTATACTATGATTATAACTTATATTGAGAGAGATTTGAGTAAATTTCAAATATAACGAAAAATCATGGCGGCCGTTTTGTAAAATGGCCGTCATGTCCGCCATGACATGATTCCGCGATGGCCCAATATCCAGATTTGTTTAGACAATAAATGTCTATATTTGTACAAAAATTTGTGCTTTTATCACAAAATGCACAATAGGTTGCCTATGCCGCCTGACTATACCCAAAAGATGCGGAATGTCTCTGAAAGTCACATGAACTTTGATGTTCGCGACATGTATACCTCTCAGTGGAAGATAGTCCAAATTCTTGCCAACAGATTTTGGGACAGATGGTGCAAGGAGTACCTCCAGTCGCTACAAGAACGCAGAAAGTGGGCCGATACCAAACCAAATGTTCAAGAAGGAGATATTGTCCTTATGAAGGACGCGGAACAGCATCGGAACTTCTGGCCTCTCTGTCGTGTTACTTGTGTGTTCCCTAGCGAGGATCATCTCGTGAGAAAGGTTGAACTTATGACATTCAAAGACGGAGCAAAGAGAACATATGTGCGACCGATTACTCAGATCGTGCTTTTGCTGTCAAATCATGACTAACTGTTTTGTGAAAAGTTGAATGACTAGTTTATGTATTGAGTTAAAGTAACTACATTTTCTGCATTGTAGGTATCCTCAGTTAAGGATAAAGTATACATTTGTTTTGCTTGTAATATTTCATATCAGGCGGGGAGTGTAGTGTTAGACAATTTATACCTCGCAAGAGTTATCTTTCTTTTTATATTGTTATCATTATTCCGGGTTTGTAACCCTTTACGGTTTGTTTTTTAGAATATTTTATGTTGTTC